GATTGGCACAGGACAGAGTGGAGTTTAGGGCTGTTGTACATAGGGTTGCTATGAGTCGCAAGCGACTCGACGGCACATAACAACAACAACGAAATATATATATATTTGTTATGTGCTGTTGAGTCATTGCAACTCATAGCAATTATATGTACATCAGCTCTGAAACCTGCTCTATCTTGAGCCAATTTCATATATTTAATGTAACTTGAATAGATAAGGCAAATATGCCAGTAAACACAGAATTACTCAACCTTATTTATAATCCAATTAATAAGTACAATAAAGGGTAACTTAACTAATTTGCTAAAAATGTTTTGATAATGCTGTCAAGAATTTGTTAATATATTCTCTTATGTAGTATAATTCTTTTAAAAAGCAGTTTTATCTTTGCTCCATTTATCTCACTCCTAAGATTCTAGAAAAAGAAAATAATGCTAAATACAAGATAAAGTAATAGTAATAGTTTTGATACAGTTAGTAGAACAAGGGAGCAAACAGCAGCAGTCCAGAAACTGGAGGGCAGCTGAGTAAACGATGATGCCTTCACACATGGCAGGTTCAACCGTTAACAATAACACAAGAAGGACTTAGCTACACTGAGAAATACATACATCTAACATTTAACTGAGCAAGCTCTGGTGGCTGAGTGGTAAGGAGCTGTGCTGCCAACCCAAACGCATGCAGTTTGAATCCACGAGCTGCTCCACAGGAGAAAGACGGGAAATGCCCTCCTGTGCAATTTACTGTCTCCTAAAACCTGCCAGAGTGTCAGCTATGAGTCAGTTCCAACTTAACAGTGCACAGCAACAACAACATTTAATTGTATCCTATAAATACAACTAAGGAATGCTAGTAGTGCAGTAATTAAGTACTTGGCTAACTGAAAGGTCAGTGGTTCAAACTCACTAGCTGCTCTGAGGTGAGGAAGAAGAGACCAGGTGATTGCCTTCCATAAAGATTTCCACCTACAAAACTCGGGATCAGTTTTACTCTGGCCTAGAGGGTCACTGTGAGTCAGAATCAACGAACAGCACACACCACAGTAAAACAACATAAAAATCAACCCACTGCCATCAAGTCGATCTTGACCCAAAGTGACCTTCCATCAGGTCCTGGAGGCGGTAAATATTTACAGGGGGGACTGTCCATCTTTTTCCCTTGGACTGTGTGATGGACTGACCTTTCAGTTAACAGTCTGATATACAATACATATATACACACATATAATACAAGGATGTATTACACAATACACCACCAGGGCTCCTTATAGAAAAACACACATGTGAAAACAAAGAGACAGAAATACATTAAGCAATAGTTATATTTGTTAAAGTGCAGGGACTATGGGTAATTTTTTTTTTCTTCCTCTTTCTCTCCCTTAAATTTCCTATATTCTTTTAGAGTAAAAACTAAGTAACTAAGGTTGCAGAAAGGGGAGGAGGGAAAACAGCATGTAGTAAAATAGGGAAAAAATGTCATTTACTGTAATAGAAAGTAATCAGACATTTGTCTAAAATTGACAAGAAATATTAGTATTATTTAAAAAGACAGCATTATTAGAAGAAACATTTAAGAACTAAAAGACAGGACCTCTCTGGAAAGGAAAGTTGTAGGGATGATGGGAGAGGGAACAGAGAGTCATGTCAGTTAATCAGACAACCAATTCAAGTGTAAATGATAAACTGCTATTTTTGCCCCTTCTGACCGCTCCCAGTATCACAACCCATCTGTCCTCTGGTACTAAGTGGATGAAACCATTTCGAGCTCTCTTTATCCCCAAATACAAACTCCTTATGCATACATCTTTGGGATTTCTCCCTGAAGTGGCGTCTCAGGTGTTCAACCAGATGGGAGTGCCGACGAAAGTGTTTTCCACATTCCTGACATCCATAGGGTCTCTCTCCAGTGTGCACGCTATGATGCTGAACAAGGTGTGAGCTCACCCGGAAAGCTTTTCCACACACCTGACACGTGTAAGGCTTCTCACCCGTGTGGACTCTCTGATGTTGAGTGAGGTGCACACGCTGATTGTAGCTTTTTCCACATTCGCCACATTTAAACGGTTTTTCTCCTGTGTGGATGCGCCGGTGCTGGATAAAGTTTGAGGCTTGAAGGAAAAATTTACCACAATCATTACATTTGTGACCTCTCTCCCCAGCGGTGTTTTGCTTACGTGTAATGCCGGGGAAATCACCAACATCTCTTTTCTGAGAAGGGTTTTGCCTTGATCTCCCCACAGTGGGGTTTACCTGACACCCTTCTACCATGCCCTTAAGGTCACTAACTTCTGCCAAGTCTGGACTCTGGGGAACATTCCTTTCAGTGCTTTCTGATGTCATCCAGTGGGATTCAGCTTTGTCAGAAATCTGCTCTCCTGCAAATTCCGGGTTGTCATTCCTGGACTCATGATCTGAAACAGTAAGAGGAAAATGGAAATATCAGCAAGCCTCTGTGCTGGGAGAAAGAAAATGATTGAGGAAAACGGGATAATGAAATGAAATCGACGTGCACTAGGAATGCATGAATTCAGTACAGGGAAATGAGAAGGAATACTCCAGAAAACAAACAGAATAAGGAAAGAAGTGCTAGCCAAAATGGGACAAAGGCATGAGGCTGGGAGAAGAGCTGCTCTGAATGAAGATGACAACCTCTGATATAGTCTCCACATACAGTACCTGTTCGTGAAACCTGTGTACTACTGCTTATTCCTAAAAAAATCTGATACTGGGCCCTGCAGTTAACCCAGTTTTCACATTTCTCTTATTGATTACTAATACCCTGGCAAAGAAGGATGGTCTTTCCTGTTTTTCAATTTCCAGAGGATCTCAGTGTGGTATAAATTTGTTTAAATGGGAAATTCCCCATTTTTTCTATACCCAGGGATGAACCCACTTCTCTTGTGAGTGACATTAACACACAGTATGCAAAAGACAAAGAGAAATGTTTATGGGGTTACAATTACAGCCTCTACAGCTCTAAACCATATTAAACGCTGCAGTTTAAGGTGCAAGGATGGTGAAATTTTGTCTCATATACCATGTTGTCAGGAGGTGCCAGTTTTTGGAAAAACATTATTATGCTCGAAAAGGTCAAGGATCAGTGAAAGAGAGGAAGACTCTCAACAAGATGAACTGACATAGTTATTGTAACAATGGGCTGTAAGGTGGTAGAGATTGTGAGGCTGGGGTAGAACAGGCAAGGTTCAACTCTGAGTCCTAGCTGACTGGGTGGTAACTAACCACAACAACATATACAATTCAGTGATGCTGCTCTTTCTCCTGTGGAGTGGCGGATAGATTTGAACCTCTGACCTTTCAATCATCAGTTCAACATGTATACCACCAGGGTTCCTTTAATCTAAAGACTTCCTTTATTTGGTTAAACCCTTCTAGACAAAATTCCTTTTGGCTTCTGTTTTCTTAATGAAACAATTTTCAGTGAAAAAACACGCACACCACACCTTGTTTGAGGTAATATGAATTTTATAAATAAGTGGGACATATGTATCTCAAGGGGTGTCTGGTGCTGGAGTTGAGGGGATGAGGCCTGTTTTCTAAGATGCACACATATTAGATGCGATCACTGAAAGTGGGAATGCAACCTCCCACCCAACGTCAGAGGCAGAAAATGTAGATGGGCACTAATATGTGTTGTGGTCACACAGGACTAAGGCTTAAAGATCTTAGGGTAACTGTTTTGAGGGTTCATTTAGCCTCAGTAGTTCCAGAAACTCTGGGTTCCATCAGAATTTGAAAATCTGTTCTTCACTTTCCTTCCTCCCCCCTTCAATCTGGATCCTTCTAAAGAACCTTTGGCCAGTAATGGTGCTGTAGAATCTTTGGTCAAAATGTTCAGCTGAACATCATCCGATTTTTCGAGTCTCACACTAACAAAGACAATTAGCCACTCATTCCATTTCTTCCTCCTGTTCTTGACTCTCCTTTTCATTATTCTGATCAAGGCAAAGAGACACCAACTGCTGTACCTTAGATATTACTACCCTTTTCTGAAACAGTCAGAAGTTACAATTCTTCCTGTAATACAAACTGACATGCTCACATCCATGTTTATTGCAGTATTAGAATAACAAAGAGTTGGAAATAACTCAAGTGTCCATTGTGGATGAATAGCTAAAGAAACTATGGTATATTTACATAATTGAATATTAATACATCACTAAAAATATGATCAGTAATTTGTGACGTCCTGTACAACATGGATGAATCTAGATCAAATAATGCTGAGTGAAAATAAGTCAGTTACCAAAAAAAAAAAAGTCAGTCACAAAAGAACAATTATAAGAACACTGATATAAAAAGTTAAGATAAAGTTTACACACAGACAGAATGAAGCTTGGAGAGTTAACAGGTTGAGGAAGGAGGGAGAAAAGAGCAAAAATTAATAGGTAAGTGGAGTGACTGGAAAGAGAATATATAAAAGGGTTTAACTAGACACTAACTTACTTAATTATATTAATCAATTGCAGTTCATATTATTAAAAATGTCTATGAATGAATGAAAAACCCGATTTGTAAACTTTCACTCAAATTAAAAAAAAAAAATAGAAGTCTATACCAAAAAGATTATAGTTCTTATATTGTAAAGATAATTTTATCTTCATTTATACCTTATAACTGTTTTTATCTAATTCTTCTCTTCCTAAAGTATACTTTAAAATCAAACAGAAACACATAAACAAAGCAACAATTATAAAAAGAACCATTTTTATGTGCTTTTATCCTGTTCCGTCTAACCAAGCAGGTAATCCCCGGTATCATGATAATTTTCTATCACTTTTGGAGGCACAATCATGCTAGCATCCTGAAGGCACACTAACACCCAGAAAAACAATCAAACTAGCAACAAAGATTGCCTCTGTGAAGGAAAACTAGGACCTTAAGATCAAAGGTAGGTAATCCACTTTTCATTTAAAACTCATTATACTATTTGAATTTGCTTACCGATAAAGACTTTTAAAGACCGAAGTCCTCTATTATACTCAAACCCCTACTAGAGTAGGTAGTCTGCTGCCTACTCCCTCACCTACCTGCTCTCAACAGGTGACTCTATTTCAAGGAAAGTCAAAGCCCTCCAGGCAAAGGCTTCTAGAATGTCTCACAACAGCCTTGTTTTTAGTTCTTGCCTTTTTGTCTCTCGAAAGAAAAGAAGTCTCTCTATCTGGGGTCAATCTTTCCTCTGTTTATTAGATCCCATCATGCATTTAATGATTTCCAGGGATCTCCCAACACCAATTATCTACTATTTCCACCTCAAAATTTCAAATTCATTCTACATTTAGTTTCCGTTAGTATTGAAATGTACCAAAGACATGCAAAAACAATTCTCCATATAACTCACATATGCTTATAATGATCAGCCTTCACAAAGTCTGTGAAAGTTTATAGCTTTTCTGTTTACAATAGCTTTCTCAATGTCTTTCAATGAAAGTGTCTCTGTTCCCTAATATCCTACTAATACCCTAACTATTCCACAGAAGTAGCGATCACTAGCATGTGTGTGT